AGCTCATGGAAATCCAATACTGAACTTGTACGACAAATCAATGAAATCCAGCGTAGATTCCAACACTAAGCTTGTACTACAAATCAGCATGTGCAGCTACCAGCGAGGAACCCCTGAATCCCCATGCAAACGTACTAAGCTTGTACTACAAATCAACATGTGCAGCTACCAGCGAGGAACCCCTGAATCCCCATGCAAACGTAAAAAGAATCGTTAATCAAAAGAGTCCCCCCCATGGGCCCCCATGCTACAGATCAGAACGGGATGCCATTCCCAATTGAGTGTAGCGTCTATTTGGCATCTTTGACCCGCAATCATACGCTGGTACTTTGATACTGGAAAAACGGGGGCACTTCAGATCCGGACAACTAATTTTGTTTAATCATGAACTTTGATTGCTCGAAAACATGCAATCTGGCAATAACACTTCGACAACCGAGCATAGAATTTATGTATTATGTAGTCTTAGCCCAGTGGCAAACAGCATTCATCGTGCAACTGAAGCTCTGTAACTCTCATGTTGCGGGCACATGCTGCGCTGTAATTATCGGCTGCAGCACAGCGTTTGCTGTGCAGACTTGCAGAAAGCAATCCACCAGTCGCCCAAGCGCATATAACCTGGAGAAGACTGTGTGGAGTCTGTGGAGTCTGTGGCAGGGGCATCCTTTGTGGCTGGGAGCTGTGTTGGCTTTGCCGCAAGCCATGTAGCCACTGAGGGCAACATGGAGAACGCACATGCGGGCGCGCCGCTTGCTGGCACATCTGGCGCACTTGCCGTGTTGACAGGGTGCGGCTGCGCGAACGAAGGCTCAGCTGGGGCTGCCAGGGGCTTTGGAACTGGCTGTGGGCTTGCTGGCTTTGCTGCGAGCCATGTGGCAACAGAGGGGGACTGGGCGAAGGAATACTTTGGGGTCACCGGGCTTCCTCCTCCTGTGATAGCCTTCGGCTTTGCGACAAGCCATGTAGCAACCGAGGGGAGCAGTTCGAATGAACCTTTGGGTGGGACCGCTTGGCCGTCGGGATTTGCGAGCACCGGCAAGTGTGCGGTCAGCTGTTCCTTCTCCTGTATGGGTGACTGGTCTGCCTCGCATGCACGGAGGCGAACCAAGGTGTCCTCCACGACCCTTTGGGTTGCTGACATCTCGCCGGGCTGTCGACAGTTGTAAGGGTCCTGTTCGAGGACAGGACCGGAGGTCTTTTCTAGCACAACCCATCCTGCAAATGGCAGATGGATGCGCGCAGATTTCGAAGAGACTTCCACCACCAGCACGCGGGCCCCTTCTTGCAGGTTACCCACTACCTCACTGCCCTTGCTCTTGGAGACTCGCACTTTGGCCTCGCGGAGCACCCTGGCCCAGCCCAGGCCCACTGTCTTTGCCACTCGGTGAACCTGACGTGAACAGGGCTCGAACGCGATCAAACGTGGGCATGCGCAAACGTGACTGCCACACCTCATCCTTCTCGGCTGCCTTGCGACCTCCAGCTTGCAGTTCCTGCCCACGGCAATCAGGATACAGACTCAGTGAGAGAGCTCTGGTGGTCAGTCCTCCAGTCGCATCATTTGCAGCATCTGCTGCTTGCCGCCCACAGTTCGGTGACCGAGGAGGCGCGGATCTGCCCCATCGGTGCGGCAGACGGAAGCACTTGGGCCCTCCATGGCTGGGCTCCAGAAAGCGGAATTTCAGCGGGCCAACAACAGGTCAGCATGTCGCAGATGCCTGATGTGCATATGCAGTGGAAGTGTGATCAGAGTATGCTGGAGGAAACTGCGGACGCATGCCAGGCAGGTCAATTCAAACCAAGCCAACAGATGACCATTACACGGCTGTTTTTGTGGTGCTGTCCTAGTCAAGGCAGAGAGCTGTGACACTATGGCGATGCATCGCATGATTTTCCGGCTGCATTGCAGAAACCAGTGCGAAGTCAATCTCTCAGAAAGGATAGTATACCTCGCAAGTTTGCTTGTCAACCTCTCCATGCAACTTCAATCCTATGCTTCGAAACAAGTCGGTTCTGACCGAGCTCTGCACACTTGGATCGCTCCCACAACAGGAGATCCTCCGTTGACGCTGATCGTGTGCACAGACGCAGCCCTGGCCAGCGAGACTCAAGAAACTGCGAACGCTGAAATTGTCAGGTGTGTGTGTGTGTGTGTGACCTGCAAGGGTGAACTTCGTTGCTTCCCACTCTCTCTGACTCCGTATTCTCGTCTGGAACATGGCAGTGAAGGGGTGGGATATGGATCCAACTTGTGCTCGCCACGATTGCCTGCTGACACGCTAGCGGGAAGCTCGGTTGCGACGAACTGGTAGAGATCTTAGCATATGAAAGAGTGCGGCGCGCGAAGCAAAAAACATGTTCTACCCTTGTGATCTTGTGAATGCTTCCGAAGGCGTGTCCAAGGCCGGCTCCGAGACGTCGTCTACTGCGACTCCCTCCCCAGCGCGCGTGAAGTCTCCGAGGATCGCAAGGCGTGTAAGGCCTTGCAGCACCTCAGTGTGAAGTGAAGTGAGGGGAGGAACCTGCCAGTCTCTAGTCCTTGCCTGTGAAGCACAAGGACACCGCCAACGTCTCGTTTTCCGCGGTCCGTCGACAAACTACAAGTCGTCAGACTTGCTTGGATTAGACTTGATCCAGACTCTGCGCATTTCTCGCATCATCCAGACACGCCTTCTCCTGTGCCAGGCTGTGCCGGAGTTCCCTTTAGGATCTCCATGCCAAGCAGAGCCCATTTGAAGACACCTGCTCCAGCCATTCTATCTGCACTCGCCGAAGGGCAAGTATCCCAGCGGAGAGCACATGTGTGGATTTGGGTGCACGAGGTACGGATGCACTCCATACAACTCCAGTGCAATCATATTCTGGGCTTTCAGCGTGGGAATTCGCTTCGTCCACAGCTTACCTACCGCAGCGTTGCCTCTTCCGTTTAAAGTGCTCACCCGGATCTATCTGGCAACGTTTATGTGGTGGCATCGGACTTCGAAACCTTCCTAGCATTGCTGCTACATCGGTCTTATGACCGGGGGTGAGGGACATGTAACGGGGGCTGCTACCAATTCAAGTACAGGGTTGCTCTGGGACATGCGCCGCTAAGCCCTAACCCCAAAATGAACGGCGGTATGCTTTTCCGGCGGTTGCGAACAAGCGCTTCACGCGCCGGGTTAGCCGATCCGCCGAAAACTGGTGCCGGCGCGCGGGGGCGCATTCTGCACCCCCCGACGGCCCAGGGCGGTCGGCTCCCGATAAGGGTGGAAGAGGGTGGGACAGAAAAGCGGGCGAAGCGGCTTAATGCGGCGACAGCTACGGCGGTCGACGCTTCACATGTCCTAACGCACAAGAGATGTGCTACACGACATGCGCCGCTAAGCCCTAACCCCAAAATGAACGGCGGTATGCTTTTCCGGCGGTTGCGAACAAGCGCTTCACGCGCCGGGTTAGCCGATCCGCCGAAAACTGGTGCCGGCGCGCGGGGGCGCATTCTGCACCCGCCCGGCGCACCCAGCCCCCATAAAAGCGACGGCACTAACGAAACTCCCACGAGTCAGAAACCGCCGCGAGGTCGTCGCCTGCCATGTCGGACGCGTACTCGACGTCCACCGCCGCCTTGGCCAAGACTATCATAATGGCCTCGTCGGGGACGTCGACCCACTCCCAGCCGAGCTCCTGGGCCTTGGAGAGGTCGTCGCGGGACACGGCGTCGGAAACATTGGCTTTCGACGGGACCCGGCGGAACTGGGGGAACCAGGCGAACCTGGCCGCCGAAGCCCAAAAGGCTGCTAACACGCCGTTAACCGACGCGTCCCTGCCGTACCCCTTCAGCAGGGCGAACTGGCCGGCGACATTGTCGATGTACGCCAGCCAGAACCGGGGTAGCCGACGGCCGAACGCGACGAGAGCGAAGACCTGGGCGAGGATCTCCAAGACGTAGATGAACGCCTTGCGGGCGGCGAAGTGCTTGAGAAACCACGACGGTACCCTGCCTCTGCTGTAGAGAACGCGGGCGCCGACGCGGAGCACAAAGCCCCAACCGTTGTTCCAACGGTCACGCGGGGACGCCCGGGCCGACGTCGGGACGAAACCCGCTTTGTGCACCAGGTCGCCCTCCTGGAAGAACGCATCGGCGTAGAGGACGGCGAAGGGCTCCGAGTCCGGCGCAAAGGGGAAGAACCGAGGCTGTACTCGTCGAAGAAGAGCGGCCAGGGCTCGCAGCGCCGACCTGAGCCCAACTGACAGCTCGTCGTCCGACGTCGCTGAAGTGTCGGACGCCCGGGCGTAGACCGGCTTGAGGGCTGCCTTCCCGACGGCGCCGAAGGTGGCCTGGGTCAAGAAGGTGAGCTTCCCCGCTAGGCGCTGGGCCGCCGCCGGCGCGAGCCTGTTGGAGACCAGGGCAGACTCGATGGCGGCGAGGAGCTTGGCCACCCGGCTCTCCGTTGGTCTCAACTCGACCCCGTCGCGGCGCACCTGGAATGTGACGCCCTGCACGACGTGGGCAGTGCCCGGCTCCTGGGCCTTGGACGGCTTCGTCCGGAGCCCCAGCAGGGCGAACAGGTCCGCGAAGGCGTCGAACGCCGACTGCGCCGTCTCCGGGAAGTCCACGGCGTTGAAGTCGTCGACGTAGTGGCCGCCGACGATGAGCAGGAACTGGCGCAGCAGGACCTGCAACGCGTCGCCTGCCCTGTTGAAGTTCCACACCGACGCGGCAGCGCCGAAGCACATCGCCAGATGGAACCACAGGGTGACCCCGTGGCGCGTCGGTAAGAAGGTCCCGCAATGCGCCGGGACCTTCACCGCCCACTGGCGGTACGCCGAGAGCAGATCATGCCCAAGCACCAACGGGACGACGTCCATGGCGACGAACCGACGCGCCATGTCCACAAAGTCCCCGACGAAATGGTGCGTCGGGACGTCGTCCGCCTTGACGGTGCTGTTGTGCCCTGAGCGGCGCCAATCTTCCCCCCGTCGGATCTTCGGGTCACCATGCTCGTCGAACTGGACAATGGGGAACGAGGCGGCGACGAAGACCTGCCCAGGCGGTGGCTCGACGAGCTCGGTCATCCCGGCGACGTCGTAGATGGGCACCGTCTTAACCTTCCAGTCGTCGGGGGCCCGGCATGGGCCCAGCACCCTGCCGAGCTTGGTCTCCTGGACGAGCTCGTCGAGGAGTACTCCCCAGGGTTGGTCCTTCCCAACCTGGAGCGGAGGTACTCGGCGTTCCGCGCCGCCAACGACGCCAAGGGCATCGGGTTGGCGTAGCGGTCGTCGGACCGCTTCCGCCACCCCGGGCCCGAGCGTAGGGGCCCCAGCATGTCGAAGCCGTCGGAGAGGTCGGACCTGAGGGCGTCGACGTTCGGGTAGCCGGCGACGTCCAGCAGCTCCAGCAGGACGGGGACCTGGGTGGGGCGATCCCGGTCAGGCGTCGAGTACGTCGCCCTGACCGGGAGCGGCCGGTCCCTGATCCACGACGTCGTCGCCTCAGTAGAGTCCTCGACCATGGCGCCGATCTCCTGGATGACCTCCCGTCGGATGCGCACGAGGTCGTGTCGCCACCTCGTCCCCGTTCGCAGGACCCACTCTAAGGCCGGCTCCAGCGTCGGAGTGTCCGCCGCCGGGTGCCGCAAGCTGAGGGACCGCCGCCAGTGATCCTCCTCGGACTCCAGCTCGTCGATCACGACGTCCCTCGCCCGCGGCGGGGGGGTCATGTCCCAGGTGCTGCCCCACCGTTGCGACGCCAGCCACTGCAGCGTCGTGCACCGCGGCGGTCTCGGCAAAGTCCCAGCCGACGGCGCCGCCGACACTGAGCCAATGGAGGCGGCGACGACCAAAAGGGAGAGCATCCGGGACGCCACCCCCCAGTGCCAGCCATTGCCGACGAGTCTAAGGCGAGCGCGTTCGTCGGCACCCGCCGCCGCCGTGTAACCGACGGGCATGTGGTGCAGCTGCTCCCTCACCTCGGGGGTGGGGAGCCGTAGGTGGCCCCTTTCGTCGGTCATCATGGCCTCCCGGCGATAGTGCCACGGCGCATAGCGGCGGGAGTCCTGGAGCCACCGCTCGCGGACGTCCTGGGGTATCCTGCCCCTCGCCGACTTGGGCGCCGGGCGCCCATTGTCGTCCAGCGCCGGCGTCGTGGCGCAGGGCATCAGGACCCGGCCAGCCCGCACCGAGTCGTGGAACTGCCACCCGTCGAGTTGGAACGCGTCCTCGGAGGCCCGAGGGACGCCCAGGCGCAGGCGCCGGAAACCGTCGCGGGTGTGCCAATGGAAGGCTTCCCCCGTCGTAGGGTGCTCCCTAAATGCCTCCCACTCGACGGGCAGCCACCACAGTCTCGGCCGCGAGATCCAACCGAAGTCCGACGCACAGACGATGACCGGCTCCATGTTGAGCTTCTTGGAGACGACGTCGGCGTCCTTCTTATTCATGACGACGTTCTCCCACAGCGAGACGACGACGTGATCGGGGAGCTCCGCCTTGAGCTCCTCGTAGAAGTCAGCGGCGACGAGGAAGAGGCCCCCACGTTCTCCGTCGTGTCCCTGTCCCGACGCGACCCTGGAGAAGTCCTGGCAGGGCGGGGCCGCCGCCCACAGGACGCAGGCTCTGGCATGGGGATCCACCCGCCGGATCAACGCCGCCACCGCCGATGGCGAGTCCTTGGAGATGTCCCCTCTCTCCTTGATCCACGGCATGTGTCGCCGAGTCAGCTGCGACGCGGCGGCGTCGACCTCCCAAGAAAGCGCCAGGAGGGGCTCGCCGAACTCCTGGTTGATGAGCCAGGGCGCCCCCACCCCGTCGAAGGCCGACAGCACGATGATCTCGTCGGCCTTGGGCTTCCGGTGGGAGAGGCGGACGCGTTTCGGCGTCGGGTCGGGTGCCGCGTCGGTCTCCACATCCGACGCGGTCCCGTGCTGTCCCTAGCGCCGACCGCCGCCCTTGCGGGCGCCCTTGTCGTGCTCGTCGGGCTTCCAAGCCTTGCCCGACCCAGCGGCGTTCCACGACGACGACGACCAATCCGACTGACTCCACCACTGGCCTTGGCCTCCAGAGCGGCGGTCGTCGCTGTGCTCGTCGTTGGGTCTTTTGGTTGGTTTCTTCGGCGGCTGGCCCCCCTGCGGGGGATTTCCCCTGCCGCGACCGCGGCCGCGCCGGTTCCGCTGGCGCCGACGGGTCGCCGTCGGGCGTGCGGCCGTCTCGTCGTCCATGTCGTTCGCCTCCTCCCCCGCTGCAGACGCGGGGGGCGGGCGACGAGGGGGCTGCTTCGGCGGCCTCGCCATGACGTCGTAGAAGAGGGAGTGGTTCGCCATGATCGCCTGCGTCGACTCGGCGAAGGTCTTGCCCAGGCGCAGGTCCATCGCCAGGGACCAGCCGATGGCTGACCAGAACTCGACGACGTGCTCAATCATCGTCGGCCTGGACCTGGCCTTGGCGGCGAACCAGTCGGCGAACTCGTCGATGGCCTCCTCCGGCCCCAGACCGACGAGCTTCCAAGCCATCTCACCGACTCGAGCCCGTCGAGCACGGCGATGAGTGTGCGAGGAGTCCACTCCTTCTCCTCCGTCGTCGCCGAAGCTCGGCGCACGGCGTGAGGGTTCACCTCGCCAGATGCCTGGTATGTCCGCCGCGCCAAGATCTCGACGAGCGACGCCGGGGTGTAGAGCTTGGACGTCGTGTGTTCGTGCCACATGCGCGCCAGGACCTCTTCGGCGCCCAGCAGCACATGGGTGGGGAATCGGCGACGTTGGCCGCCGAGCAGGCGGGCATTGAACGCCTCCACCTGCGCCGCCCACGCCGGGAAAAGCTTGGGCGGCCTCTCGTCGACCCTAGGCGGGGGGGCCGGCGCTGGAGCTGCCACCGCGGCGGGCGCCACCGGCGTTGGCGGAGCCGAGTGTAGCTCCCACTGGCGACGGGCCTCCATCCAGCAGTGGGTCAGGATGGCCTGGACCACCGGGGCCACCTCGTCGGCGGCCTTGTGCCGCGTGCCGGCGACGTCGACGCCATTGAGGAACGGCTGGACGACGACCTTCACAAAGTCCTCGGCCGTCGTCGCCACCAGTGCGAGCGTCGGCGTGCGGTCGATGCCCCGCGCCCTCAGGTAGGCGACGGTGTCAGGTCCCGCCCCCGCTTGAGTCGTGAGGTCGTCGAAGCCGATGATCGCCGAGGCCACCGTGGGGATGGCCGCCGCTGCCGCGCCAGCCATGTTGGGCAACGGCTAAAAGCTACGACACACGACGAACCTCGGAGAGCTGGCGGTTGGCAACAAAAGGGGGGGTGGTAGGCCGGGAGACGGGGGGGGGGGGCAAAAGGGCGCACAGAACCGACGCAGTCGAGGCAAGCACGACGCAGTCGAAACCATCTTTTTGGGCGACGCGGTGCGTCAATCAAAAATGCCGACGCGACGGCGCTTTCAGCGCCCCCTCGGCGGGAAACAAATAGGACAGAGCACCTCCGGCGACGGGGGCCATTCCAGCCTCCCCCTTAGGGCGTTCGCCGTTGCCATGCGGCCGCACGCCAAACACCTGGGATCCGCCGCCAGGTAAGGCGACGGGGATTGCAGGTGCACCTGCGCCACGCGGCCCGACGGGGTCCTCTCGACGATCGCCGGGCGGCCAATCCAGTCGCGGAGCTCCGGCGGGTACATGCCACGGATCGCCGACCACGTCGGTGGCGACGGACCGTCCGCCCCAAACCGGGCCCGCAGCGACGCCAGCGGCGCGTCAGGGGACCACATCGACGTCGTCGAAGGCTGCGGGCAGAAGGGCCGAGGATCTTCTGGATGAAGGCAGCCCGGCGGCCTGGGCGGCGCCGTCGGTGCCATCGGCGGCCCGGTCTGCCCGGAGAGCTCCCACCAATGGCGGAGCGCAAGCGCCGCCGCCGGAGACATCGCCGGCGGGCAGGGCCCGCGTCCCACGAAACCAGCTGCGGACGACGGCGCCGGGCCCGGCGGCAAAGGGGCGCACGCCCAAGCCAACCTCACCTCCACGTCGGACCGCGGCGGTTGTGACGTCGGCAGGTGCGGCCACGGGGAGTCCGACGTTGGCGCCTCGACGCTCCCCTCCGTCTGCGAATACCTCGTCGACGAGAGGAGGTCGTCGGGGTCCAGGAGGGATGGGTCGGAGTCGCCGCCCTCCGACTCCTCCGACGACTCTGCGTCAGCGAAGTCGTCGCTGAGCATGCCCTCGTCGGCTCCGTCGACGGGCTCCTCCTCGTCGGGGCCGCTGCTCGGGGTCCTCTCGCCGTCCATCTCCGACTGAACCGCCGCCATGGGAGCCATGGTGCAAACGACGAAGCGGCTGCGGTTAGGGAGGGGGGCCGGCGGAACAAGAGCTCCCAACAGCGGCGGCGGCCCAAGAACCTCCCAGAGCAGAACCGTCGGGTGGGGGGGGCGGGCAGGGGCATGCACAGACACGCCGCATGAAACTGACGCACCCCCCAGAATGTTTCTTACGACGAGGAAGAGCACGACGAAGCCGCGTCCGATGACTCTGAAAGGGCCGACGGGGATTCAATCTCTTCCGTCGGTTCCAAGTCAGGTTGCGCCTGAGGCCGGGGCTTGAAGCACCTAAGGCACTTTACAGGCGCCGGCGGTTCCGCCGACAGTCGGTAGTGCGACCTGACCCCGTAGGGGAATCCACAAGGGGCCTGCCACAGGAGGCTATCCCTAGTGGATTCAGCCGCGTCGGTCCTGTGCAACCGGCGTGTTCTCGCCGCCATAATGCACACCGTCGACGCCTCGGGCGCCTCAGGCGGTGGGAGGGCCAGGGCCGGCGCCAGGACGTGCACCACCTCTGGGGGCTCCCAGGCTCCAGGCGGACCGTCGGGCCCAGCCGAGCCAGCAGCCAAAGCGTCGGGGGGCGCATCCGCAATCGGCGGGGCCCCCGCGACCTGTGAGCACAGGTGTAGCCGCTCGGGGCTCTGCTGTGTCGACGCGGCGAGGGCCGTCGCCGGCACTTCCGGTGCCGCGGCGAGGGGCGCCGCCTGAGTATACCTCAGGATGGCCGAGGACGACCAGCGCCCGAGGAGTTGGATCACCTCGATGGGCACCCCCTTGGACGCCAAGAACGTCGCCCCGGCCACACGGGCGAGGTGTCCCCTGAACCTGGGCCGGCGTCTCCCATTCGGGTCGACGTACATGCAATCGATGCCGGCGGCACGGAGGACCTGGAGCGCCGCCTCGACGAAAGCACCCTTGGTGAACTCTCCGCCGGCGGCCCCTGGCACCAAGGGCGCGTCGAACTCGACGACCGCCGCCATGTGCAATCTGGCGATGTGCCGCACGGCCGCGTGCACGGGGCAGAGGGGGTGGGTCGCCGCGCCGCAAACGCAGCGCAAACAGCGGCGAGTGAGCTCCCTCTCCCCCCCCTGAGCCACCTTGTGGATGGGGACCGACAAGGCCACCTCCCGGTCGCCGAGCTGGAGGTCCCCCAACCGCGCCGCGGCGATCTCCACCTCCCTGAGCATGAACCAGCATGCCAGGATCAGCACGTCGACCATATGGGGTACAGCGCCGAAGACGAACGGCGCGGCGACGAAGTGGACCTGGACCACCGTCGCCAACTGGAGGAACGGGAACGCCTCCTTGAGCGTCGTCGCCGGGAGGCCCCGAAGGACCGAGCGGACGTGGCGGCGAATGGACCGCGCCACCAACGGGTCCAACGACGAACCTAGGTAGGCCTCCTGGTGCCACCTGGCTGCGTCGAAGTACCCCTGGGCGGACCGGTAGGCGCCGGCCTTAAACGACGCCGCCATGACCCTCACCAGCTCGACGGTGATGGGGAAAGGCTCCATGCCCCACGCCTCGGCGAGGCGTCGCCAAGTCCTGAGGCGTGACTCGACGGGGCCCCTGGAAGACGCCGCCAGGAGGCCTTGGTCGACGAGCTCCAGCGACCTCTTGCGGTTCTGCGGCTCGGCCGCGGCGAGGGCTGCCTGGAGCGACGCCGACGCCTCTCTCCTGCGGACCGGGACGTCGGAGCGGACAGGCGCCACCACCAAGGGCTGCGCCGTCTCCGCCGCACTCGCCCGCAGGCCCACCAGGGTCACTACGTCGCTCGGGGGAACGCCGGCGGCGATCAGCGCGTCGGCGCAGGAGGCCACGTCAGCCAGCGACCTAGCGCCGCACTCGGCGAGGGCAGGAAGGCATCGCTGCAGGCCGGCGTTGGTCACTACTTTGACCAGCTCGGCAAAGGAGCCCTTCGGCGCCGACTGAGCGACGAACATCTTGAGCCAACCTAGGCGAACTAAGGTGAAACGTCGAGAACGCTCCCGCGAAGGAGACTTACATGTGCATCGACGTGCGTCGAACCGGACAAGGGAGGGGGGGGGGGGGGGGCGCACCCTCATTTTGCCGCGGCGCAGCAAGGCTCGAGGCTCCGAGTCCGACGCGACGACACGAGCCGACGTGCGTCCCGGAAAATGGCGTCGGAAGAAAAAGGGGGTGAGACAAGCTGCCGCTCCCGACGTCAACGACGAAGATGTAGAAGGCGTCGACGACGTCCAGAGGGGTGGCCAGTCCGCCATCCGGCGTTGTCAGGCGCGGCCCGCCGACGATGCGCCCTGCCCCGACGACGACGAGGGAGCTTGGAGGGCGGCCCGCTCCTCACGCTCCACGTCGCGTTGTGCCTGATCATACGCCGCCGTGGCCACCTGATCGACGGCGACGAGGCACTCCGGGCAGGAGTGGGGCTCGTGCGCGTTGTTGACGCCGAGCACGACGGGGCGAAGGCAACGGCCTTCGCCGCGGCAGTACCGCCCCGACGTGCAATGGTGGGCGCACCAACCGGCGATCTTGCGCCCCTTCCTGGCGTGGGGCACCGGTATGCGCCCGCCCCGGACGTTGCGCGGGAGCCGTCGGACGTAAAAGTACGTCGCGAACTGGCACCACCGCACCGTCGGGTCGTCGGCGGCGCTGCGCTCAATGGCCTGGAGGTCGTCGAAGTTGTCCAGGGCGAGGGCGGCGAACGCCGGGTCGTTCGGGATGTGCTCCGCCCCCGCCCCGTAGACCTCCATGCGCCGTTTGTAGTCGGCGTACTCGGGGTCGAGAGACTCGGCGAAATCGGCGTGGTGGCCCCGAGTGCGAGCGCTTGCTCGCTGCTCGGCGAACGCCGCCTGCTCCAGCCGATCCCGACGCGCCGTGGTCGCCGAGGAGGCCCTCCGGGACGACGAGGAAGGCTTGGGTCTCGCCGGAGGGTCCTCCATCTGCAGGATCTCCCGGGAGATCTGATCCTGCAGATCGACGGAGGGAACCGGCGGGAAGATGCTCTTCGGCAACGCCGGTGGAGCCTTCTTTGGCGTCACCGCCGGTTCCGGCGAGGGCTCCGCCGTCTCCGTCGTTTCGGCGATGGTCTCCATGGGGGCGGTGTGGACGACCGGCGGTGCCTTCGGCCTGGCGGCCTTCGGCGTAGACGCCGCCGTCGTCGCGGGGGCCGGGCGGGAGTGCTTGGGCTCGCTCCCGCCGGCCGCCGGACCCCCGCTGGCCCCTGGTCCAGCCAGTGATGTCGCCGTCGGGGACGTCGGCGTGGTACTGGTAGAGGACGTGCCGCCAGCCGCCGAAGATCTCGTCGACGGGGTCGCCGACGATGCCCACATAGGCGGCGCTGCCAACGGCGTGAACGTCGAAGGTTTCGAAGACGCCGCCGCCGAAGACGTGGCCGTCGCGGTCGTCGTGCCGCCAGAAGATGCCGAAGTCGCCGAGGTCGCCGAAGTGGGACCAGCCGCCGCCGCGCCACTCGCCGCTGCCGCCGCCGACATCCTCGCCGACCCCTCAGCCGTCGTGCGCTCTCCCCCCGTCGAGCCCTGTACGGGCGGGCCTTCACCGTCGAAGATGATGGGGGGGAGGCCCAGGCGCTGGCGCACCCGGACCATCAACGTCGCATGGGCCGCGACGAACTGGGTGCGCGTCTCGAAGGGCAGCGACGCGACAAAGCTGAGCGCCGACTGGGGGTCGGCGAGGATGTGCGCCAAGAAGTCAGCGACGTGCTGCTCGTCGATGGTCTGGATGGAAGACATCGCGTCGAGAGCACTACGGCGGAACACAGAAAAGCGGGCGAAGCGGCTTAATGCGGCGACAGCTACGGCGGTCGACGCTTCACATGTCCTAACGCACAAGAGATGTGCTACACTACAGTAGTGCAAGCATTGGTTGGGAGCAATGATAGCCTACTTCAGTGACTTCGGGAGGTGCACGCATCGATTTGCCATGTACTTGCGTCTGCGCCCTATGGCTGCCAAAGATACAAATCTAGGCGCACCAATTCCGGTGCCTGCCCTACAAGGACTGACATACCGCTGACATACCTTTAAGTCCTTCTGTTTCGGTCAAGCGGCAAGCTCTCTGGACGTGTTCGTGTGCATTGCGGATCGGCAGATCCACGTGCTCAGTTCAGCCAAAACCGTTTTGGCTGCCTGGAAGCTGATCTCTGTGGGGCTTACCGATGCTTCCTCAGAATGCAGAATTCTCTCCAACTACAGCCAACTACAGCACAGCACATCAAGCATAGTCAACAGTCCAACATCCTGAATGATCGTCTGGCGCTGGATCTGGGTTCACAGGCTAGCCAGGTTGGGAGTTGAGAGCTGAATGCAACTAGGGCTGCCTAGGGCTTCTTGCGATCCTCCAAGCGTCGAAACACAGCGGGACATTTCGCTGTGCAGGGTCTGGAAGCTTGTCTCGCAAAGCCTTATGGAAGGGCTCGTGGCACAGTGACATCGCGACTTCAGCTGCTGAAAACTGTTTGGTATCGACTCGGCGAACCGACTTTGCACCAGATATAACTGTGCTGTCACACCTGGCCCGTAAGCCAGCTAGCCAGCGCTTCTTTCTTACAAACCGATTCCGGCCTCAGGACGTGCTCCAGCTTGCGTGCAGTTCTCTGCTGTTCGTGCCTGCTCGAGTCGACGATGCAAATCTGAAATTCGGTGCATGAATTGCTCGCTGCACAGAGCAAATCAGGGGACCTCAGCCGAGCAATGTCGATGCTGTGCGCCACACCATGCATTTCCAGCAGGCAATCCGCAAACTCGCTGATTTCCTGAGCATCGACCCGGCCCAACGAAGACGCCTTCATGATGAACACAAAGAAGCCTGCGAGGCTGCAGCTATGTGCGGCCACCGTTTCAATGTAGCCCTTGTTGTCGAAATCGATGAGCTGCCAGATCTGCTCCAAGCTCACCTTGTGGATATCGATCCTGGGCACAGGGGCATGGACAGACCGTGGGTTCTGGACGTTCTGTCACTAGGAAATGGGACTTTGAGAGAGTGTTTGGGCTGAGGATTGCTAAGGCAGCGGCCCAAGGTTCTTGAAACAAAGCTGGACACGAAAGTCAGCCAACGCAGTCTCAAACTCCTCCCACTCAACATTGCCGCTGTTGTCTGTATCTGCCTTTGCAAACCTTATTGTGGTCAGTCTGGCCACCCGCGCACAGGAATTCCCTACCGCTTAGAACGACGATGGGTGTACTTAAGCAACACGCTGACGTTCACATGTTAGGTTGCGGTGTTCTGTCTCCTGTAAGTCTCAGGCAGTGCCTCGATCTCCTTTATCCATCCTGAATTATGACATCCGCACAGGTACATCCATCCAGGCGCATGGAATATGATCTCGTGCAGCACTGCAGCACAAGCCAACCTCTAGTAAGACTGAGAATCTCTTCCGGTTTTGTATCTCTTCCAGCATCATGTTTTCTTCATCTTGTAGAGCCATGGCAGCTGAACGATCCACAAAAACGCCAGTGACCTGACAGGGCATTTATGTATGTATCACAGACGGTTCATCATGCTCAGCAGAGACTGTATGAAATCACAGATGCCACCACAGTGTAGGGACTGGACAATGTTCAGCACGCAGAACCTGAGCCGTGAGAAGGGTGAACCATGAGTGTGGCACTAGGGCTCAGGAAACAGGATCTTGAGCTTAAAGTCTACATCCGCCAAAGTAGGACGGATTCACCGTGCAAGCGAAAACGGCACTGCTTCGCATCACTGCGTTGCAACGTGACCAGTCAGTGAGATGGAGGACAGGCTTGCACTTGGGCACCAGTTCTCATGCGTGGATCAACATTGACAGCCCGCTGTTGATTCAGTAGCACACAGAAGCAGCAGTGGCAAGAGCAGTATTGGCAGTTGGCAGTTGCTGTAGTTTTGCACAAGGAACAGCAGCAGCAAATGCAGTCCTAAGCCGCGCAGTTGCTGCGGAAGTCCCTTGTGGATCTCTGTGTCCTGAAACTTTCATTGGCGCTGTTCGGAACTTACTATTTGCCAGGCATATGAGTAGAATGCGCAGGATGTCTGCTCTGTGCCACGTGTGCGATGTTGTTGCTATTTTGAAGGCATGCTTACTCTTTCATGCGTATTGTACTGCGTTGGTGCCAACATTGCCATTTGATAAATGGGTAGCACATTATAGCAGAACTTGAAACGCTGTACCACATTTGCATTGCTTTGATTGCCTTCAAACGATCGGCTTGAACATGTATGCCGCACGTCACATGCTAGTTTGCATTTTGCTACTGAGATGCCGATGCCTGGTAGAATGTCCGACGTTCGAGAGAATAGTGTGGGGAGTCAATGTGGCCATGTGGGGCATCCATTCCGGTGCCGCCGCAGTAGTCACGAAGGCTGTCGCGCAGATCGCACATGACATCGACATCTTTGGACCAAGGGGGGTTGCCAAGCTCATTTGTCAAAGTGATTCTCCCGCTGTTCGCAAGCAGTTGCGGGTAAGTGCTTGCTGAGCCCATGACGTTGCCAACGCGACATACAATGTCAGGATGGGAGTGACCACTGGGTTAACCATCATCAGTGGTGGAGCCAACTCCCCCCAGCTGATGCCACCGGAAATGGTCCTAAGATGTATTGAGAGGTCACATTAACAGCTGCTGCTTGTTGCTGCAAAGTCAGGTTGTGTTTCGAGCTCATGTCTATCTCACGCTGAGCACTTACGGCAGCCCTGGCCGAGACGCAGAAACAACGTGAAGCAGGTTGTAAGCCTGGGTCAAGGCCAGGAACTATTCAGCAAAAGCGAGCTCCCTGACATGTGCTGCTAACCAACTCCATCAACTTAGGAGATGTCAGAGAGGAGAAAGGAGATAGCCCAGCGAACTCCAAAGGCCCGCCTTAGTGTGTGAAGATGGCACTGAAAAAAGATGAAAAAGGACATGTGACTGTGGTCTGTGGAGGCCATCAAAAGTACAACCATAAGGAACCGGATTCAGCGGGAAAAAACTCAGCCAGACACAGCTCTATGCAAATAGTTGGGCTATGTTGAAGAACACAGTTGGAAGGCAGCTTCACTCATAAAATGTACATCAATAGCTGTTTTCAGTGGTGGGGGCATGTGACAACCGATGCGCCAGTTGAGCTTTGGCAATCTCAGCAAAAACCTGAGTTCTCTTAGCCCAGTATGTGTTTAAGCAGCCATTGTGCCTGTTACTTTGCACCATTATCTGCCGATTTTATGTTTCAACTGCCTTTGGCAGTAAATATAAGCGTATAAGTCAGCTGGGTCAAAGAACTGACGCCCAATCATGCTAACCAAATTAACTAAGCTATCCGTATCCCAACATGGGGAACTGATAAGACTGTTTCTTAAAGTGGTATTCATTAAACTAAAGAAAATGTCATTCAAGTTAGCCGCCATTTGTGACCCAGCATATCAATTACTAGAACCAGACCCTACATACAACAAGAGCTCGCCCCTGATGAAATAAGACAAACTGCCGTACATTTTGAAAACACCTTTGGGCGAAAACTGAAACTCGGAACATCTCAACACGAGGGACGGCATGACTTCATAGTTCAGCACCAATTATGCCCGTTATTAAAAACAACTAAGCTGTGTGATTGAATTGGGGGGAACCGAATATTCTTCAGGGGTTGCTTTGCATGTAGTTTAGACCTCGCTTGCACAACCTGCCATTTACTTCTGAAACTAACTTGTACATTTATGTGAACCCTCAAATATGCTATGCTTCATAACTAATCGGCCTTCAATGGCGCAAGTAGTTCAATTCATATAACTGACCTCCAACTATGCTACACAGGTTTGCGAAGTTATTAATCGTTGAGATTTAAAACTTGCGCCCACGAAGGGGGGCACGAAAGCTCAGTGTTTAAATGATGGGTTTCAGGTTGAGGATCGTTCGGGGAGGCGTGTTGCCACACGCATCTTCGTCTGCAGAAAGGGCTACCTGAGCAAGTGCCCATGATGGGTTTCAGGTTGAGGATTGAGGGCTTCACGTTCGTGGAGACTTGTTGCCATACGTATCTTTGAACAAAAACACAACCAATCTCGTGAACACTTGGGCATAAATAATGGTCATGGGATGGGCAATTTGAAAAGTTCCCGACTGTTTTTGCTCTTTGGCTGTGCTTGATTATTTGTTGGCGGACCTGTCTTGGCCTTTTGGTATTGGTCCTTGCGGTTTTGGCTTTGCCTTTGTTTCTTTTGGCTCTGTGCTTCAGCATCACGCCATTGAATTGGGTGAATCAGCACCCCCCCCCTCCCCCCTCAAAAATAATACACAACAAAAAAGGCAAACAAACAGCGGCTGAGTTTTACCCCCTAACCGAACCAAGAATTGAGATCTTGCTGCGACACGGGTATGCAAACAGGCGTTGAGAGCAGCGGAGATGCTTGGGAAGTCCTGCGGATTATCCGCCAAATATTCGCCCACGAACTGAAGGATGCAGACCTGGAAACATGGATGCCTAGTATGCTTCTGGGTCATGGCCATCAGCTGTGGTTGCGCGGGAGTAGAAGAATGGAGGAATGGTGGCCATGACTGGTCGTGATGACGATGTAAAGCTGCGGTGCTCAGAAGTGATCATGGCCAAAATTTATTGAGCCCAAGTACTGCTGTGATGTATATGATGAAGAAGAGGAGGATCAGGGCCCACATCAAGGCCTTGGCATCCCAAGCCAACATTGTGAATGTGATGCAACGTCATCAACGGATTCTTTCAACTAACGTGTATACATGAGACATTGAACCCTCCTAGATTCCTAGATGTGTCCGTCACTATCTGCCTGCATCACCAGTCGTGACAGAAGAACATGTAAGTGGGTTGTTGTCAAAATGCTTGTTCCCGAAATTGACGTTAAATCGGAACTCCCTCGGTGCCGCCTTGTGTCCTGAAGGAAAAAGAAGCTGATTGAGATGGAGTAGCAAACGCGACATTTGAAGGATCCAAGCATGATTTCCTAGAAAGGGTGCTAGCGCGGACCATTTTTCAGGCGCTGCTGTCTGGAGTTCTGGCACAAGCGAAGGTTTCTCCGCTGTCGCCACTTGCGCGGCTCGAGCTCCAGCAAGCAAAGCGCTCTCGGTTCTATGGTGTTCCTTTGTGGTCTGCTAGAGGAGGAATGGGCCATGGTCTGCCGGGGGAGGTTGCGTTGACATTTTGCTAGCGCCGTGCTAGCGCGGCGCTAGCGCAAAACACTTTGCCGGATTTTCCAAGACCTGATACTACGACGTGATGAACGTCATCTTTTTCCTAGAACAACCTCTATCCTGGCAACAGGCGCCCCGTCAATTCATAACGAAGCGGCGCGGGGTTTTTACACCACCCCGGATGTTGTACGCATATTTCGGGTGGTGCGCCTGGCTGGGCCTTCTCAATCAATCTCTGTTGTGTTCGCTTAGTGGTGACATGCGAAACTTGAAATAATGTTTGTTGATTTTACCTAGCGCGAACCTAGCGTTTTCCTAGCGCCACACTGGGGTTTTAGGGGATCCCCCTCGGTGCCGCCTTATAGCAAAGACATGAAAATAGACCGGCCAAACCAATTAATGTAAATTAAAGTAACTGAGCAAACACGCGAATTTTGAACGCAACCCAAGTGTGAAATATATTGCAGGAAGTCCCAGTCTTGAGTGATGCCACAGGACTGACATCGCGAACCCTGCTTTAGTACCACTACCTGCGCATCAAGCATCGTCAAACAGTTACGCGAGCCCGAAGTGTACTTGCCATGTAGTGCCTCTGGTGCAAGCAAAGCAGCCTTGAGCGAGCTCAGCACGCCAAGAATCATAACTCTCAGATCAGAGAAGAAGCGCAGCACACGGAGCACACGAGCAACTCGGACCAACCGCAGCAATCCTGAGATGCAGATGTTATGGACGCGGCCATAGCATGCTGCAGTCAGTCAACAATTACATCTGGGCTCTTTCTGAGCTTACGTAGTTCCTAAGGCTGGCATCCTGCACACAAGCTTTGAGATTGACGCAAGAAAAATGGCAAGCGCGGAGTTGCATGACCAGGGAGATGTCTGTTGCTTCAGAATTGCTCTAAGATAACATCTTGACACCCCCGCACACATCCCAAGCCATGCTAGCTGAGGATCGTAGAATGCGAGCAGAGGACATATTTGGAGGTGGATCCGGAGCATCCCTCACGACCGCGAAAACGCGGGTCATGATCTCATCCTCGGCTTCTTTATGACCCAAAGGCTTGCCCGCAGTTTCGCGCTGGTAGCCAGGTAGCCGCAATTGCCAACATCACCAGCACAGCATCCATGATATTCCACTTGATGTCCGGGTTCTGACACGAGAACAAATATCTGCCTTCAGGCGTAGCATGCATCCGTTGGACTTTGGTTTTGCACTGCATGCGGGCCGATAATCCCTGATGCCTGATGTGTCTCTATTTCTGTGCAGACCTTGCCTCTGCTGGCAGTACGGTTTTGGACGTGTATTTCTACGGGTCGTTTGATGTACTGATAGCACTTAGGGTTATGTTTTCTGAATTCTATGTAGGAGTTCCTTGGGTTTTCGGAATGTGGGAAAAAGACAGCTGGCATGTCATGACACATATGACACGCCTGACCCCATTCCCATTTTCTCTGTGGCACAGGCCTTCCATGCGAAGCCGAAGAATAAGCTCGGCTGTGAACAACACCGTGAATGTCAGGTTTGCCTCGGGACTGTCGGTTCATTTCTCAAGGATCTCAAGGCAGGAGATGATGACCAAGGACATCACTCCCACCTAAACCTGTACTGTGTTGTGCCACACGGATCTTTCAGACCCTCTGGAATGCGGTGTTTTTGCGGTGCTCGGCTGTAACAGAGAGCCGAAGACAAGCGGTCTTGCCTCGAGCTTGTCACGTCAAAGAACTCGTGATCTGTCGTTGCATGGAAGGTGGAACTCTTGAACTCTTGTTGTGTACGGTGCAAGACTGGCCGGCCGCGTGCTTTGAAGGCTGCCAATTGTGTTACGTACAGTGGAGAACATCGACCCACTCACACCACTAGATAAACTCCATGGAATGCCTCAGTGTGTGTGATGCCCAAGGCCCAAGATTGGATTCTCAAACTCTCATTGAAGGCACCGCCAAAGCGATTATTGAATCAAGCTGCCACTCGAAAAAACTCAGGTGCCTCATGGCTGGGCTGCTGCACTGAATAGTCTGCCTGTCATGGAAGCAAAACCAGAACGCAAGCTGTGACGTTCAGCCGCAGGCTGTCTTATACTTTCTTTGTCTTTTCTCCTCTCTATATTCTATGCTTGATTCGTCATAGTCGGAGTGATCATCTTAGGCCTGGATGCCAAAAAGAATGGCATTAGTCAGAATGAGTAGTGCAGCGCATGCTTCAGCAGCGGAACCACAGCACCTTTCGCGCTTGTCAAAAATGGTACGAGACATGTCTAAGGTCCGATATTGACTGGAGCAGAGCATTCTTGCAGCGCAAGCCACATTTTCATGCAGCTGTTCAGACCTTTGGTCAGGGACACATGGTTCTCCTCCTCAGCCATGTCCTTCATTTCTGACGGCAAAGCGCTGAGTGACGCCCTTGGCTCTGCACCAGATTACGACCTTCCTGCGAGCACGTAATGTCGTAAAATTGTAGTAGGAAAAACCGAATGCATCCATGTCTCATCACATTCTTGCCTTGGTGTGCGCACGCCAAGACTTCAGCAGTTGGTAGCGGGGCATATGTTGCATTGCTCTCATCAAGATATGGCGTCTGACTCGTGGCCTCGCGTGGATGAGAAGTGATGTGACGGTGATGTGCTTCTTCCCCCCTTGAAAAATCTAAGAATCTTACCAGATGTTTGAGAGAGCGGGTTGTGTAGTGACAGGCTTTGCAGCTTTTCTCTTGGTCCATCGAGCTTCATGTGTTCTTCCCATTCCACATTTGTAGGCTCTTGGCCGGCTCTGCTAGGCTACGGAGTGCTTGCTTCTGTCCTGAGGGTCCGAAGTTGTGTGTTGATTTCATCTGTTCTGGACTTTGGCTTCGAGTTGACCATCGGAGGACCCGTCTGTGCGAGCACACTCAATGCTTCCGAACACTCGACCGGCCTTTGCCAGGGTTGTACAAATTCAGCAGATTCCACGACCCATCTTTGGCAAATGCACAGCATTCGAATCCACGGTTTGGTGGTTAGCACTTCTTGCCCTGTCAGTTAATATCATGACGCATCAAGGAACAAACCTCGGCCTCAACCATTGTCACTCCTTGCATTCTCTTTGTCTCACTGCCTAAACGAAGAGGCTGGAGAATGCTGGTGCCATCACGGGCAAAGAAGCCCATACTGGCACTTACTACGAGCTAAGGCCACTTCAGCCACTTCCCAAACGCCTTAACATCAGATCCACACGGTCTTTTGCACAGGGCGGCGGCTGAGGCCAATGGCCGCGCAGGTGACAAGAACATAAGCTTGTGAACCCCTGTAAGTCCGAAGCCGAAGCCGCAGGAGAACCCAAAAGCCCGATGATGAGCACAATGCCCACAGTGCGCTACGAGTGCGATGCAATCTGCAGATTCTGCAAAGGAGGTGCTTTTCGTTCCTTTCCTCTGTGTATCTTCAGTGAACACGCTCTCCTGCACCTGACCACGTTGCGAAGGTTTTTGGGAACAGGGAAGATAGAGAAGCAACAGCAACAGTTCTCTGAACTTGCCAAGATTCGGAACACATCGCTGTTACATAACTTGGGCTCAGACAGACGTGATCGAATAGATCGGTGCAACTTTCGATTCCTCTGCTGGCCGGAAAACCTATCAACAGAGTCGACAGGGCTCTGGGGCAGCCTCTGATTCAACATGGTTGGACTGGTCATGCGGATGCTTTGCCCTCTGCCGCTTCACCTCCAGTGTCGCTTCATCAGTTCGATGCAGCATGACGCCGACCACTCCTGCCACTCGCCTTAGGGTCATCGTGGTGTGAATATGGGTGACTGCGCATGCTCATGAGATGCTGTCAGATTTCATCAAGCGAATCCGTGCTTCAGAGGAGTCAAGTCACTCGGTCTGCTCTACCAGGAGGTCTTGAATCTGCTGCTCCTCCAAGCAGTGGGAACATAGGGGCTTTGTGCTTTGCTGCTACACTGCTACACCTCCGTGTGAGTTGCGCTACATTTCGGATGATCTGGCTGGTCGCTGCCAACTGTTTCAAGGCACTTGCGGCCTGTTGCCGAAGCACCGCCTGGATGGAATCGAGCAGCTCGGACGCTTGCAGCGCATTCTGCTCCTTGACCTTGTCGGTTCCCCCGGGCCTGATCGTGATCAGCTTCGCAGCGGTAGGTGCGACCCCTCGATCATGTGTGGTCATACGCATGCAGCAACACAAGCTCTGCTGTAGACAGCTCTATGCAGTCGTATCCAGTCGTTCATCCTCGAACTACTGACCCCATCTGCCTCGGCATTCTTTACTGTTGAGGCCATAGCATTGCCGACGGAAGGCTGTGAGAAGCTGATGGCTAATCGGAGCCAAGTTGCGGCGCGGAGAGGAGCCAACCGTTGCTTCATACTGCTACTTCCGAAGGCCGGCAGTGCAATGCACATCTGCGTGAATCTGACTGAGCCAGGAGCAGCTCCGATCTCGCACTCTGTGGCATCCGTGAAGGGCAACGCCTCATTGCGCTCTCACGCGAACACGCAACTTTCATTGCTGTAGGCTCCAGCTCCGTACTTCAGCCACGCAGCTGCATTCATGGGGTCTCGCCACCAATGGTTGCCGGTCGCAAGGGTAACCTAGAAAGAAGAGGTTCTGAGGTTCCAGACTTCGCCGAGGGTACGAGACTGCTTAGCCGTGACCCTTCCCACGCCTGAACGATCTTCTCCTCGCCTGCCCATTCCAAACCATTATCCTCAATCGGGGCAAACGAGGAACTTCCGAGCTTTTCCCTTTGCAGTAGCTGGGGTGCCACTCCCCAAAACACACCAAAAATCACAGCCAACACAGAGCGAAAACAAAGCGAAGCGGCCTAGGAGAGCTAGGAAAGGGCAAAGCAAGGCAAAGCAATGCAAAGAACTTGAATGTTTCCATGTATCAAATCTGTATCAAATGTGCACTTTTGTGCACTTTTGTCGCGACTTCGTGTGCGAAAAAAGCTCCTCTTGCTACTGGGGCCCGGACAGCAAAGCGCACAATCCGCATCCCGCGGTCGCTGTTGCACGATGCGCACTCCAGGGTGATGAAATCCAAAGGGCTGTTCCTAGGAAATCGTGTGGGAAGCTGTGCTAGGATCTTTTGGCAATTTTGGGAGCATCCACTGCGTGTACTGAGATTCCAGCAGATGTTGGAAATCACCGTAGGTGCTGGCAATCGTGAACTGCAAAGTCCTGCCGCTGAGGTGGCGAAGCAATGGCAGAGCATCCATGCGGCTCCTGTTTACCGTCTCTGCACAGCTTCGGACATCTGTGAAAGTGCTTCCATTTCGGAATGGTGTGCCAGAGCAGTCCCGCCATAGGATGTGGCCAGTTCAGGCAAATAGAACCTGAGACCGACCCTCCCGACGACATGTCCCGATATCAAACAACCCGAGAGGGCACGCTCTGCACTTTTTGGCGTCGTGTTTTGCTGTGCAGCACTAATGCCCCAGGATTGCAGTGACGACGGTGCGCTCCTCTAAAGTGGCTGTGACGATTTCTGGGCATTTGGTTCTCTGTGACCTGTTGTGCCCCTAATCTAGATCGCACCCGTTGGCATCCGTATCTACCTTTATTTAAGCTCCAGTCCGTGTTTGGCTAGGACCCGAAGCTGCACCTCTTTGTCTGACTTGAGCTGTGCCAACGGTGTGCTGCTTCCACGAGCTCATGCACTCGCTTGGCTTCCAGCTTTCCTGGCGGCGCTTCGAAATACCATTTTGACCTGAAGAACATATGTGCGCACGGACTTGTACACCGCACGCTTCTGAACATCCAAGTGGGCAGAACTGGATGGCAGAATTGGAAACATTTGGAGCGCTCAAATCGAGAGATTGCAGCTCTGGTCTTGCAAACAGAGCTCTGCTTACGTGCCTGGCCTGTCACTGCTCGTGTCGAAGTCAATATACTGCACTTCGTCTGTGCCTGTGAGGTCTGCAACTGTACATATGACCGCTCTTTGTCGAAGGCATTTTTTTGAACGACAGATTCTCTGCAGGCAAACATAGTCTTCGGCCATAGAGGTAGCGATTGAGGAGGCCCCATCCAAAGGCCTGCATCAGCAGGTTCCCATGGTTCAGTTCCCGCTGAGTCACTAAGATTTAGAAGTCATATCCTGGTGAGTGTTCTTCCTTTTCTTAGCCAAAGCCGCGCGTCTCTGTGACAAGCGTTTCTCGGCCAACCCAAAGGTGAACACAGCTGCACTATGTCCAATGCATCAAATGGTTCTATTGCAACGGTTGCTCCGCCTGCCAGGTTGGCACTGTAGCATAGATGTTGCCCGAGATGGTCCAGGCCTCCATATGTTGGGACAGAAGCTGTGCTCTGCGATCAAGTCAGAGGCAAGCCACGTGCAAGCCATGTAATGCCAAGGTCATTCGAGAAACAGAAGCCGCTTCTTTGCCAGGCTGCGTCTGTGCCACCTACGAAGGTGGAAGCCGCGACCTGCTGCGACGGGCCTCAGGCCGAAGAATGGAGATCAGAGTCGGTGCAATGCACGTGAACATCAAGCCCCCCCGGCCCCCCCCTCCCCCCCGCCCCCTCACTCGGTGTTTGCAGCGCCTCAGTTGAATCTGACTTAACTCTGAACTAACCTGATTCAACCTCTCATGTCCGCATCTTACGCTCATTCCGGGCTGCAAAGCCCGACCCGGTCCGCAGAGCTCTGCCCCAGTTCTGACATGGTTCCTGAATCCACAGTTTTTGCTATGGAAGTGATCCCCAGTGTCAGGTTTGTGGTGACAAAGACTTCTGTGAGCCAGAGCTCCGGCTCCCTGTTGCAAGCCGATTGTTTTGGGTGTTGTCCAGAGCTGATGAAGAATCGTCGGACCGTCCGCTTAGGGCTCTGCATTCTGGCTAAGTGCGGAGCTGCTAAAGGAGACCTGCCCAGGCTCAGATTTGTTTCCTCCAGCCGGCTCCTGAAGTCCAAGTTCTGCCAACTCATGCCCAACCGGTGACTCTGCAAATTGCATCGCATGTTCTGCCCTTTCCGTCCTGGACTTCGTACGTCATTGCTGCCCAGCGCCCCTCTGGTGGGAAAACATCGGAAGGCGGAATGTAGACCACCCGCCTAAGCAGGCATGACTCCGAGTGGACCGACTAATATGACTAAGGCCGCTCGACAGCACGGGGGCAACATCAACTTGCAAAGACACCTTCTAATCCCATGCAGCATAGAACAGCCTTGCCGGCATGGCGGATTGAGATTGCGTCAAACTGACAAAGAAGGTTTGGAAATAGTCTTGGCCCTTAGAGGCTTCGCTCACCTGGTTTGAGCTGCGACTGCGACGCTCCTGTTTCCGTGCATTTCTTTCGGGTGCGGTGCCGTCGTTGCTTTTTAATCGCCTCGGGTAACTGCTGAATGGGCATCTGCCCGCACAATGCTTCTGGGGCAGTTTGACAGTTTGCCTGTTCTGATGCTGGATGTCTGTGAAAAGCTGCTAACACGATGCACCTTGTCACATCTACTGATTGGCGGGGCACGCTCCACACCGATTCGGACCCGTGTGAAGAGAGAGAGAGAGAGAGAGAGAGAGAGAGAGAGAGAGCGAGACAGAGAGAGAGAGAGAGAGAGAGAGAGAGAGAGGAGGGAAAGAGGGAGAGAGTGAGGCAGACAGAGAGACACAGAGACACAGGGAGGAAGAGGGAATGCTTCTTCCAGGGATGCATCCCCTTTTTTAAATGACCAGCCGTTGATTCTTTTGGGCAGAAGCCTGTGCAGAGCATCCAGCTCGAAATGAGTCAACATGTTCGCATGTGTTCGCACCTGTAAGTCGAGTGCAAAAGTTGCATACCGATGCGAAGGTTCAGGTGTGCGGTCCAAGCCACCCTAAGGCATCTGTCACCTTAAATGGCAGCTCGTAGTCCTTTGGCTCTGGCAGACACATGTACATGTCGAACTTCTTGGCATTGCAACACAGCCTATCCTTGATGGAAGTGGCAGCGTACTTCGGGTCTGTCCCGTATGTTCTGTAGTTCTGCGAAGTCTCGTACCTGCCACCGGATCTTGGACTCACAGCTATCTTTGGTTGTGTCTATTCGGAAAGCGGGGAAGCTGAACACGGAAGAGTCAACATGTGGTTCGACTTGCCACCGTAAATAGGCATGGGCACAAAGCACCACTGGATGGCAATGAGGTGATGAGGTATTGGAGAGCTCTGCCTCCCTCCTGCGGAACAGCTAGTTGAAGCTGCAACATGGCGCCAAAACTCTCTTCTGCATGGCGGCTTCTGTTTCAACAAAGGCTGTCCACAACAGTCCTCATACCCATGCAGTTGGCACACCGTGGCTTGGCCTTGATGCGTGCAAACGTGCGAAGTGGCTGGGGGTCAGAGGGACTGAGAGATCCAGAGTGAAGAGCATGAGAGGGAGTGCTGAGGCCAGCGCCAGCTGGAGTCGGACAGGCCGTGTGTTGAGCAACGGGGTTGCTGGCAGCGGGGAGAGACTTTAAACAGAGGTGTAATGGGAGCCTGAAAGCCTACATTCTCAACAAATTGGGAACGGCACTGCTCCTGTCTCTTTCCGCGGGATTCACGTGCGCAAACCGATGAGGTGCCAGGGAATCAGAGCTGGGTCTGTGCTGCTTCAACTACATCTCATCTCGAAGGTTTGGGCATAAACAGAAAGTTGTCGAAGGGCAACAAGAAAGTTAAACCGGTTGCAGATGATAACAACCTTGCCGAAAGTCGATCTTGAACGAACAGAGGCAAGCCTAAGGGGAAGGACAAACGATGCATCCGCCACACGTCGGGTACATGACCGCAAACAGAAACAGCAATACACAGCGGTGCAAGCTCCCCAAAATTTATCAAACAACCTCCAGCCCGAGCCGGTCAAAGCATAGTCTGAGTGGTGGTCATGGTCTGTAGATGAAGGGTCGGGACCATACCATCGCATGCGATGCAGAGCTAGGTATCCGGCTTCTCGATGACTCAAACTTGTTTCTCTGATGCTCTGGGGCTTGGAGTGGGTGATCACTGCCCGGTTTGTGAGGGCATGGCCAGCGCAAGGCTCTGTAGATCTGCCTTACCGTGTGAACAGAAAGAGCCTTGAATACAGAATGGGGAAGATGTTGTCGATGTCAGCAGAGCCATCTTGGAAGGCACATGCCTTAGTGATCCACAGGAACTCAGAGGAACAAAACACCTTTTTCTCATGATTCAAAGAGCGATGCGCCGCTGCGTCGCTGATCGTTACCGGCATCGGGGCTCCCACCACAAGCACAAGCCATAAAGCTGCCGCCATAGCAGTCAGTGAAACTGTCAGAAGTCGTGCCAGAAACAAGTTAGCTATAGGACCTATTGGAATTTTTGCTTCCTAACTGCTTGCACCTCTCGACCCACCCAAGTTTGGAGTTTCCGGCAGAATCTTGTGCAATCGCATCATGTGCCAAACTCTTTCTGAGCCGGTTTACCTGCAGTGCGCACACGCTAACACATGTAATGCATCTAACGACGGCTTCTGGACACACAGGAGCTGTGCTTTTGCTGTCGCAGGCGGGATCTCCACGCTCAACATTGAGACGGGACTGCGCGGATGCACCATAGGGGGACATAAGAGTACCTACAGCATGTCCAATCTCCAGAGGTGGAACTTGCACCTCGCGGTACACCTCCTCTGGGCAAAATCCTCCCACCATCATGTCGAGAAAAGCGAAGCCGGCTTCTTTGATCTCTTTGGCGCTCAAGCCTCCCGAGCGCCAGGCAGCTTGCGAGGAGCTTGTGTGCAGCTTGCGTGGCTAGTGGTGAGGTGCACTTACTTGACGTTTGGCACAGCTGTGCTGGGGGCTTGGATATGGAGCATATGCATCGCACAAGTCGCACAACACACACACACACACCTAGAAATCTACAGTTGAAGGCTCGACACACTTTGCCTGCTTTTCGAAGCTCTGCAACGGAGCTCCCGATCTGCCGAAGCTCTGAGTGGGACCGCCCAGCGCTGAGCAGGTCCTGACCCATGACACGAAAAGACTCGAAGCAATGGTGTTAACATGGGTGGGCTTATGCTAACATGTATGCACAAGCATGCATGATCCATTTTCTGTCTGATCTGCAGAGAAACCATACATGTGCATAGCAACGCTCTTTCAACATCTCCATGATGTGAAGTCTTCAGCATGTGACGTCGACTAGTCGGTGAGACGGGTGGAGGAGCAGATCTTGCCTAGATCTCAGCAAATGCCTTCGACATACTGGAAACATCCCAGTGAAACAATGGAAACACCACAGTTAACGAATGACCGACACAGGCAACATCATTCTACGAAGCTCTGCAACAGCACTCCTGCACAGTAAAGCCGCCTTCTTTCCTGAGAGGCTGCTGACACTTCATCTTCGTGGAGACACAGTATTGAATCGACAGGGCGACATTTTAAGAATGTTTCAGGTCTGGTGCAAAATGGTGCAAACGATATTCCAATATTTGCGAACCAAGTGGCAAGTCCTCGCTGCTGTATCCGACGGCTAGAAGCTCATGCGCCGGGAAGTCAGCTTCTCGCATCTGTTCGGCCTTGAAGGAGGGTAATGCAGCATGCAAGTCGTTGCGTCGCAGTTCATCGCTGGATTGCACGAGTCAACCTGTACGCCAAAGCGTTGGTTTGTTCATTGCTTCGCTTCACGGTTGCCTTGAAGCTCAAGAGCTTCAGCTCATACGCAGAGAGCCCCATGTCCTGACGGCGCTCACATGCTCACAGCCTTAGCACAAGTCTTCTCATCAACTAACTGTCTGCATGAGGATGAAAGAACGAGTGTGTGCTCTAAGCAACAAGCTGCGTGGGGTCTGGGAAGCATACTGACAGCATGTGCATCCATGTCCCCGTCCTTCAGCTGTCTAGCAGAGTACCCTGCCTTCTTCAGCTCTAGAACCGTGTAGCCTGAACACACGAGAGTGCACGCATCTTCTCTTTATAGCCTTCTGTGTGCAATGGAGTGCGAAGAAGTTGGACGACGTGAGCGATGAACCTTCTGATAACAAACTTGCATACCTTTGTAAAACATGTTTGGCATCAGGCTCCATCAACAAGAAAGTCATTGACGCGACTGAGAACCCCTTGTCGGGCTGACACCCGAAAGCAGGCCCGGCTGGCCTGCAGCTTGCATCGCCTTGGCTGAGTACCCAGCCAGTCGCAGTCCTGGCCAGAGCCCCAAAAGATCCCCAAAAATGAAGCGAATGAATTCGGCTCGTCAGCTGGAACCAGGAAGGATAGACGAGTAAGATCAAGTGGAAAACAAGCCTGGAACCATGTAGAACACAGCACTCATAAGGACGAGATCTCATTTTCTAAGTACGGGAGAGCGTCATGTCAAAGTCTTTGCTTCTGGACTGCCTGGCGACTGACGAAATTGGTCCCTTGAGGGTTGGCGTGGCCCGATCCAATCAGAAGGACGGTGCCTCGACCCCCCAACATTCCTCCAAAAACTGCCGTTGCTCACTTTACCTTACAGGCCCGATGCAACAGGCTTGGGGTTCAGAGTGTGTTTTTCTGCGACCGCAACATGGCAAGTCCGGATGCCTGACGTGTCCAGGCCGAGAGCTCGGAGCTCGCCAAGTTCGAAGCCCGCGAGCCGCAGGGCGGCGGCCGGGTGACCGAGTGCCGAGATGGCCGCTGCGCTGAAACCTGCTGCCTCGCAGCACAAAACCCCCTCCCCGCTCCCCCCCAATCTTGCCCCCGAATACGCGTTCACTGAAGCAGCACTCCACACAGAGCCTTGAGCAATTTGACAACAGTGGCAGCATCTTCCAGTTCCTCACTTTCCATCTCCTCACAAATGCTGAAGCCGCCACTAGACTAGAGACAAGAGGGTTGAAAGAATGCCGTTGGAGAGATTTTAGCATCCAGCCAAACCCTCAATACGCTGTCACGCCTCACAGACTGGTACGTCACATTGTGAATGTTACAGCTTTTAAAGATCTTAGAAGCTGCTGCTACTCAGCCCTTGCAGCATCTCTTGCTGTGTTTCTGCGCGTGGGGGGCTCCATGCTCAGCATTTGCACACCAAATCTTCTGGACGTCGACTCATCTCCTACAGTAGCCAGTGCTGCAGTGGAGCGCCCTAGATTGGACTGTGCGATGTCCCTCCCGTCGGCGACACCAGATTTGTCTAGTCTGGCTTGCAGTGAGGATTCTGATTTGTTTCCCCACCCTCCAACTGTGACTGCAAACAGGTGTGATGGAGCTCACAGTTCTGCACATCCTGCACTGACTGAGAGTCGACTTTCTGAGGTGAGGCTCTGAAAGTCCAGCGTTGACATTGACATGGCGAGCCCCTGAGGGTCGTACTGGTGCTGCACGAAAAGAAAATAAGGCAGAAGGACAGGCTACACATAGCCACTTGGGATGGTCCGGCCTTGAACGCGGAACCGGTCTGAGTTCTTCCGGATTGAGACTTGACGCTTGTACCGTTGAATCCAGTGTGGCGCATCTTGCCACAGCATGCCGCGCAAAATGTGGCGATATCCTGCTGGCCTCGCCCCCAGTGTTCAAGACCAATTAGAAGTCACAGACGAGCCCCTTCAAATGACAACACCAACAGCGCAGTCCGAGGAAAGACTTTTCGGTGCCCTTCCCACCGCTCGTGGCTAAGAACTGGAAAGAACGAGAGAAACCATCAGAGAGAAGGACAACAAGTGAACAATGCATTGAAGTGACTGAACCGCGGGCCTTTGCGGCTGGCAGCGCATTCTGCATGCTGCTTATTCCGCGTGTTTACGCTTTGCCCCGCATGACTTCGCCAGCGGCTGCACTGATCTGCACGCAGGCACACAAACTCCTCCTTCTAACATGTCCTAATGCTATGGGAATGTGCGTCCTGTGCGATGCAATAGAACACTGCCCTTAGGCTTCTTCTTTGCAACTGTTTCTGTGAGCATGGTGCAGCGCGCAAGTTTCAGGGTAGACAGCTGTCCTGTTAACCTGTGCAGTCGTGACTGGCCATGAGCAAATTCCAACGCGCGTCTTTTGACAGGTTTGATTTGTGGGATTCCGTTGTGCGTGCGCACTGCTTGGACTCCCTAGGCCATTAGTCGCCTTCATGTCGAAGAAACTCATTGGACAGCATGTTCCGATTGGCTGTCGGTGGGACCAATCCCACCATACTATGGTGAAAGCATGAGGCGCGACGCGAACAGTGTGGAAGAATTCGGGTAGTGAGGGGGACTCATCCGCTGTCGAGCAATTGACGCCCTTGCGCCCTTTGAGCTGTGGCTTAACAGGCTTAACATGTTCAACTGTCCTTCCACTCTGTGTGTCAACGTTAACCCCGGCTTGCCCGACTGCCACTGCAAGGTCTCATGTCTAGTCAGGATGATGACGCTGCTATACGTGGATAACGTCCATTGTCAGACGATGGAAACAGACTTGGCCATGAAAGTGAGCTTGAACCGGATCTTCCTTGCAGCCGACAGGCTCAAAACTCGGTGGGTTGCCGGCTCTAAACTCCATGCAGCATCTGCCCAATACAACAGGTTTCCGTGAATACCTTGATCGTTCACTATGAGTTGTTCGCATCGATGCTGCATTTGAGCAAAGGCTGTATGCCTCACTCAGGCCTCGCCGCTCAGAATACCGCCCAGCAGATCCTGGAAGCGGCCATTGTTGGTGTAGAATGTACATCTTCTGTTTCGTTTTTTCTGTTTCTTTTTATTGAGGGGGGAAGGGGGGGGGGAAGGGCAGGTTCCTGCATAGTCAACAGCCTTGAACCATGTCTAAGAATCGAACTGCGAACGTGGAGATGGCGATCATTACACTCGGTACACAGGCGGTCGGATGCCTGTCTGGCACCACACCCCGTCCTTCTGAACCTTCTCAGCCTTCTTCTCCACCAGCTTCTGAACCTGCACAAAGCTGAATACCGCTCCTAAACGGCAAAACAAGCGAAACACAGGGAAAGTTCGGCATCGGAGCCCCGTAAGTGCTCTTGAGGACTGTACGACATGTGCGCAGGATAGGCCGACGACAGAAGGACAACATGATACCACATATTGCCCAACACGTGGCACGAAATTCTTAACTTGATGCAGCGCAGCTTCTGCTTCGCCAATGGCGACTGGTGGTGCACAAAGCAAATGCTTAGCGCCGAGCCTTCCCATCCGAGATTTTGAAGATCGCGGCCAAGGTGCTCTGAGCTTTCTCCGCTTGCTCAGCCCTCGCCGTCATCTCTGCAACCTCCCAGTGTCAGCTGAGGACATAGACGATAATTTTGTACGAGAAATGCTCGAGAACGAATGCTGCACGGTGCAGTGCTCTCTGGGGTCTGCACCGATGTTCCCGACTCCTCTGATCCATCAGTGCCGATTGTGGAAAAACTTTCTACACGGTTCCTTACGACATTCTTGAAAAAATGCGATGTTCACTCTCGGAGATGGAGGGAAAGCACCTCTCCACCGGTAAAGGCTTGCATCATGGCTTTCGTGTTCTGCTGCAGGTTGTCCATGACGCCGTCCAGATACCTGGCTCGCGAACTTTCTGTAAATTTTAGAAGTGCTCTTTTGGGAAGTTTATACCGCGCGGATCCACCGCAGTCAAACACCAAGGCCAATCCGGTGCCCGAGCCGGGGAGCAAGGACAGGAACCATGTCGGGTAGACACATCGAACATCTGCTCAAGTGTTTTGTATCTGAGAGGGCCATCGTAGACTGGTGTGCCTGCAATGGAATCGCGTGCGAGAATCGGAGCAAAGCGCGATTGTGTGCACGTTGCCCCCAACCTACTTCAACATCAGCTGCGACGCTGCTGGCTAGGCTCTGCGAGCTGTCACTGAGCATCACCTCAGAGGTGACAAAAGGTGTCCACGAGGTGTTCACGAGGTGGGCGCGTGCACAGCGTTGCGCTTGTCACTGCTGAGGTCTCCACGACTTTATCCAATGCCTCTCTCTTCTCTTTGGGATCCTATCTGGCCAGTTGAATTTGAAGTGAAGCTGCTAATCCCCACCACGCCCTAATCGATGGTGCTACATGGAGCAGCTGCGGAGCTACCACGGTGTTCCAAAAGTTCGTGTCTCCTTGATCTCCGCAGCCCTGTCGACAAGCTCTCGAATCATTGACTTTGCCACGGTGATGGCACCCTGAGCGGCCATAAGCCGAACAACCGACATCGACCACCGCGACCACACTGCCTTTGTACCACTGCTCTTTATAATTAGCTTTATTTCGGATGCAGCTCGGGAGAAGGCGGACACGAATTGACTCAGGAACTGCACACATATGCAGTGCTATGCGAGCAGGCAACCTCCGCGGCAAGCTTTGGCTTCAGCTTCTCAGCCTCCGATTGTACCTGGCATGCAGTGAGGATAGTGAGGATTCCGCAGCAGTCTGCCCGTTCCTAAAGCTGCAAGCGGCACGCATTATGTGGATCAGGATCGGCAGTCGCACAATCTAAAGTGCAGCACAGACACGGCCGCGTGTAGCAGCAACGAGCGTGTGGCAACAGGCACCTTGGAGGCAGTTAACACACTGAAGATTCACAGGATTCGTGCACTTTGCATCCGCAATCCCATCGGGCCATGTGAACGGCCCTTGCATGACAAGAGCTGAGTCGTGCTTGTTTGGCATACCTCATCGCCCGCCACTGATCCAGACGCGAGACGCAAAGCTCTTGCTAAGAGGTAGCGCGTGCAATGCCGAGCTGCAGCTTCAGCTGAGGCTCCGCTGCAGTGCTCCGTAATTAAAATTAAATGTTGAACCGCACCGTCACCGAACCGATCTTCAGGCAACCACCAAGGCACCATAGCTGAAAACTGGCAAAGACTCTACCTGGCTGCTAGGTCTAAAGCAGTGATTTTTGGGTTCGCGTGTTACGGAGCGTTCTGTGGTCCAGTGGTCAAATGTGGTCAATACAGGCATGCAAGATCCATGTCCATCTGACCAAATCGTTACGTCAATGGCGGGGCCCTGGCTCTCATTGAAATGCAGATACAATCAGACTCATACAGTGACTCAGCGAGTGGTACGAATGAGTCATAATGAGCCCTTTTCGAGCCAGAAACTTCTGCCACGACTGTGCCTTGCTGGCGAGACCCACACACGGCAGTGTTCCAAGGCTTGTGCTAGTTGGTCTCCACCGGCAAGTGTGCGTTGAGAAAGTTCTACGTCTACGTTCATGGAACAATCTTAAACCTTAAAAAGTTGCGCCGGAACAGAGCACAGTTGTGAGCCAAGTAGTTAACTCAAAAGATCTGCAAGGCATCCCACACCACATCAGAAAATGTACACAGAGTGTCCTTTCGCTAAGGCTCATTCAACTAGAGCTCTGATAAGCAACTATCGGTCATTCCTATGGCAGCGGTGCCATGTACAAGATTTTAAACAGGAGCCATCGCAATTAGGAGTCATGCCCGTCCAAGATCTGCTGGCTCCGTGCAGAACCGAACGAAGTCGCAAGGCGGAATCTCCGTGTCAAAGTCCAAGAACGTGTTCTTGACATGAATGGGAAATGCCAAGTCCTTGGGAATTCCTGGGTAGACATCAACGGCCTCAGCACAAGTGATCTGGCCATCTGCTCGCAGGACAACCTTGAACGGGTGGCTGGACAAGGCTTCCGGGAGTGCCTGGGCAAGGAAGTCGTTTCCCAGCGCAGTCGGACCAGGTTGGCTGATCTGAGCCGGCTTCTGTTCCTCGCATTGCACAGAGACAATCCCAACACATAGCTGTTCGAATGGCAGGGGAGATGCTTCAGGGATACTAGGACAGGTGTGTCCAAACAGGTATTGCTCTGAGTGCATTGCTTGGGGGAGTTGTTGGTGGCAGGACATGCCGAAGCTGCAAAACGATGTTGCCAAGCGTGAGGTTTCTGATTTATCGGATACTTGACCCCAACGGGCCCAAGAGCCTCCACGGGAGCCAGAGGAGTGCTCATGGTCTTCGGCGGCGTCTTCTGTGGAGTGCGCTTGCCCATGAGCCTCTGCAGCACGGGGATCAGAGTGCTCACCGGCGCTATGGGCTCCTTGAGCTCCTTGAGCTCGTTGAGCTCCTTGCTACCTTCGTCCAAACCCAGTGGATCCCAAAGCAGAGGAGATCCCACGGTGCGCGGCTTCGGTGGAAGAGTCTGCTCTTTGCCGGGTCCCCGTAGCTGTGCTTCGCCGTGAGCGTACTTGCATTTGTTCCCGCTCTTGCAGGAGCCCTTGCGCATGAAGTCGTGGCATAGGCTGGTCCGGGTCAGATCTGGCTTAGGCCTAATCTGAGCCACCTCGTGGGCGAACTTGCAGTCCTTCCCCCTCAAGCACTTGCCCATGGCAAAGAATGAGCATAAAGCCGTGCGCTCCAGGGTTTCGGAAAGTTCCTGCTTGTTGGCCGTGGGGATGTTTCTCTCCAGGCTGATACGCTTGCCCACCATGGCTTAAAAGATTCACGATCGCCTAAAACGTCTACTCTAGGCCTGTTGAAACAAAGAAGCCTTGCAGATCGGCCGGCGTGGTCCCATGAGGTTTCGGAGGCTCGGCGCTTCTGAAAGGACCAAGTTCCCAGCGGACGCAGGAACGGCCTTGGCTCTGAGACCGCCACAGCCCAGAAACCGTCTCTTCACAGGATAGATATGAACAAAGACCGGGGCAGTGAGCTGCGCTGCAAGAGTCCACTTGTGCATAGTAGCCAGGTCACCTTGAGGCCCTCCGTGCCGTCGAAGACACCGCTTGGTGCATCTACACCTTGGCGCGGGAGACCAGACTGAGATTCTCTGAGCTAGTCTGAACTTGATTGTGCATCTGAGCTTGCTTTGGTATTAGTTTATGCATCTCGTAACCGGTACCTACAAGCTGGGAAGAAGCACGGACTGTCGTTTTTTTCATGGCTTGCTCGCTGGGAGTGGTGCACTCAAGGTCGGACTCCTACGGTCCTTCGGGTTGAGGGTTAAGGCTGAAAAGTTTAATTAGGGTTTAAAGTTCGGTACACCACAGCTGTCACCTGCAGGAGTGGCATGGAATACATGCTTTGTTCGCCCGGCTCCACTGAGAGTCTCTGCGTCTAGGGCATGGGCACAGTTCGCTGGCGACTGCACGAAGGTAGACCACCGGCGGCCTGCTGTCAAAAGAAGGCAAAGGCGGTGAACGTATCAGGTCACGTGAATCTGAGGTGACTTCTGAAAGCTTCTACTGGCAGAACCTATTCAAGCCACGTCTGATGCGTAGGACTGGGCAATACAACAGAAGAACATAGAATGTCCGATTATCTATGAGCTCGAGCTACTTGCATGCATTTCTTCCATGGTGGAGGCTCGGTTTGGAACACCTCCCGGAGCCACTTTTCTTTTTTTTTTCCCGGGGGGTTCGGGTGGAAGGATCGGAACGAGTCGGAACATGCCGGAACGTGGATGAAGGCACGGTGCAATCATGTGCAATCTGAGAGCCCTGCTGACCATCTGCAGCGTCCTTCTCTTCCAGAAGCTCTGCCAAGAGAGGTGCCTGATGCTGACTGATGCTATTGGCATTGGCATGGATCCTCGCAGAACCTTCACACCAAAGCCGAGCCCGGTTCCTGCGCCGATTTGTTCCTCGGTTTTTCCCCCAAAGCTGGGTGCTGCCAACAGAGCTGCAAGCTTGGGGTGCAAGAAAACGTCAGTGTCCTGTTCATCAGCCAGCCGAAGCCCTTCTTCTCTTTCGCCTTGTCGAATTGGTGTGCGGGATTTGAGAAGCTTGAAACTTTAGCCCAGGCAAGAAAAGGCGGGCCTCCGGTTTCTTTGATGAAGGTGCTTCTTTGGCGGGCTCGGCTTTGTCGGGAGGCTTCTCGCTCTGAGACTCTTCGGATGGTGGAGGTGGAGGTGGCGCTTTACTTGGCACTGGTGCTGGCTGTGCTGCAGCCTCTGGAGGTGGAGCCTTGGTTTCCGGCTTCGCTGCTGCCGCGGGTGCGGCTGCTGCCGGGGGAGCTTTGGCCTCTGGTGTCGGTGCTTTAGCAGCAGCGGGCGCTGCTGCTGGGGGAGCTTTGGCTTCTGGTTTCGGTGCCTCGGCAGCGGGCGGTGGTTTTGGGGGAGCTTTGGCTTCTGGTTTCGGTGCTTTGGCAGTGGGCGCTGCTGGTGGGGGAGCTTTGGCTTTTGCTTTCGGTGCTTTGGCAGCGGGCGCTGCTGCTGGGGGAGCTTTGGCTTTTGCTTTCGGTGCTTTGGCAGCTGCGGCTGGGGGAGCTTTGGCTTCTGCCTTGACAGCGGGTGCTGGGGGAGCTTTGGCTTTTGGTTGCGGTGCTTTGGCAGCGGGCGCTGTTGCGGCGGGTGCTTTGGCTTCTGGTTTCGGTGCCTCGGCAGCGGGCGGTGGTTTTGCGGGAGCTTTGGTTTCTGGTTTCGGTGCTTCGGCAGTGGGCGCTGCTGCTGGGGGAGCTTTGGCTTCTGGTTTCGGTGCTTTGGCAGCCGGTGCTGCTGCTGGCGGCGGAGCTTTCGCTTCTGGTTTGGGTGCTGTTGTAGCTGGCGGTGGCACAGCGGGTGGTAGTGGTGCTGCCTTGGGTGGTGGAGTGGCAGATGGCAATGGAGCTGTTGTGGGTGTAGGAGCAGCAGGGGCCTTCGCTGCCGGTGCAGCCTTGTGAAACACGCTTCCAACCAACTCGTGCTTATCGTGTCGGGCGCTGAGGCCCCGGCATCTGATTTAGGAGTCTCAGGTGCCTGCCGAAGCAACTGTACGAAACCAATCAGGCTCCGACAAGTCGACGAAACATTGGCAACAACCGCTGGACAGTAGTGTGCACAGTGTGCACACAGTGTGGGTGTGTGTGTGGTATGCTGTTTCAGCCTGAGCCGGCGAAACTACTGTCGCCAGGCCTTTGTGGGCATTGGGGCAGTTGGCAGCTTTGGAGGAGTCGGTGGCCTCAGTGCCAGTCACTGCATCTGCAAAACCGCCGGCTTCTTCTATTGCAAGGGTTGATGTCAAGCCAGGGCCAGCACAGCGGTGCTGGAGCCTTTGGCATGCTGCTGGACTCCACAGCAGCTTTAGTAGGAGCACCAGCGCCTCGCAAAGATGGTACATGTCCCTGCGCAGCATCTTATGTCGACCTACTATGAAGCATCACAGAACAACGATCTGTTCCATAGCAGTTGTTGTACGAAGTCCTGACGTAGCTTTCTGTAGGAACAGACTTGGTCTTGGTGCCACAATCGCATCTTATAAACAGTGCTCGCGTGGAGAGACACTGGCAACGATCGTAGCTCTTCGGAATCAAATCAGCCAGAAGTGTCTTCGTATTTTATGACTAGTCTTCCGAGCTCCAAGCTCTTTTCCAGCTGGAAGTACATCTCTGCGACAGACCTTAGCACGCAACGTGATAGTAACTTTGCTTCGCCGGCATTGAGTCTGAGGGCCGGGCATGTTTGACGTTGAGGCTTTCTTTCCACGCAGCTTTCTCCATGCATAGCGAGCAGCGAGAGCCAGCCCGGCCTTAGCCAGGCCATCGGTAGAGTCTGACATGAATCATGGCGAGATACGACGTATCATGATAATGATGCTCTTTGGTGCGAAGTCATGAATTGACAGTTCAAGGTTTATAGAACATGCAGCAACGAATGAGTCGAATACATCAATAGGTGCGCGGCAACGAGCGCAAGAGTGGCCCATGTCGCCGGTCTCGCCCAAATCGGCGGGGGTGGCGGGGGCGCCTCAGTGTCAAGTACTCAAACCTGAGAAATGCAGCTGAGCTTTGGAGAATAAGAAGAATAAGAATATGAATTTGATGTGATAATAGAATAACCTAATCTTAATAGCATAAGAATAAACCCTCTCCTGCTTCTTCCCTGTTTTACAATGATTGCAACTTTTGCGTCCCGGCTCCCTGCCTTGCTGAAGAAGGCTCGACGCGCGATACGACGAGGCCGTTGGGTCCTTGAGTCCCCATTGCTCTCAGAGTTACCCAGCACTGTTGCGCTTCTTCTTCTTCTTCTCCTTCTTCTTGCAATGAATTGCTCGCATGAATGCGCTGATCGCAAGGATTCTGAGATTCCAGCAGCTGCGCAGGATGCGCCTGAGCTAACGGCAGCAAGTTGGGCAACACTTTCCCAAGAGAAGACTTCCTGATGTTTGAATTTCGAACGTTGCTCCTTCGAAAGGATTGATGTCCATGGACATGACAAGAACCACAAAGTGCTGCAAACTCCTCGTGAAACATTGACGGGAGGGCTCATCAAATTCTCCGTCGTGCATTTGAGGAAGTACGTCAAAGTACATCAAAGTATAAGGCTTGAAGCTTCCACCATCCAGTCACATGGATTCGCTACGGGTGAAAACAATCCAAGGAGTGGGCTTGAACAAGGCCTCGTCGCAACGACAGCGGGCAGCCACTTGTAACCTTTTCGCAGAGCTCAGAATGCACCGAACATAGTGCGGCAATTGCATGCTTCCTCGGACATCGCGGGGAGCCTGCATCGCTTGTATGGGCATCATCATCGTTGAACGTCTGCTTTGATGTAGCACTAGGGGTGTTCCTGTATCTGCTGGCGCTTGTTTAATGGTTTGCAAGTTTCTGCGTACATCCAGAGAAGGCAGGACGGACCCATCTGGGTTAGTCAGGTGCAGGTAGATGCGATGCATTGCTTGAGTATGTCAGGTGACTTTGGACGCCGGGTCAAAGTGATAGACGTTCCGGATTGCTGGGCTGCTAGGCTCTCTCAGCTAGCAGTGCTTGCTTCGACCTGTGAAGAGGTGAAACGAAATGGCCACAAGTTGAGACATGTGCATCTGAACATCTGCCAGCATAAGCGTGGTTAGTCCTGGCATTGTGCAACAGCGACAGCAAGGCAGCTTGCTTCCGGCTTTTCAGCCCTTGATTCTTGTCCTTCAGCCTCCCTGCGCTGTCCACACTGAGTCCATACACTCCGCCTCACAGACGCCTCGCAGCGGTGCCCGCTTTCACAGCGATCGGATGCAAATCCATGCAAATCTTCTTTGCAGAACCTATCAGACCTTGATCGGAGCCTTGATCGACATGCAATCCCCCCCTTGAGATAGAGGATGAATCGCTGCCATGAAGGCCGATCATGCAATTAAATGCTGCAAAGACGTAACCTGAAAACAATCCTTGAGCTGGAAAACATTCACTGCAGCCAAACAAAGTGATGCATCGAGTACCTGCAATTGCCTACAAGCCCAACACACATGGGAGCCGCTGCTCTGCGAGTGGTGGTGGTGGTGGTGGTGGTGGTGCTGCTGCTGCTGCTGGTGCTGGTGCTGGTGCTGCTGCTGCGTGGTAGAGCAGTAGGACCACGACCACGACCGCCACGACCACCACGACCACCACGACGACTCCTACTCCTACTCCGACTCCTGCACTACGACGGACGACGATTGTGACTACAACGAAAACTAGTACTCGGTCGCACTACTTCTCCGACCCCTAGGACTAGCTCTGGGCCTGACCCCTAGCCCCAGCCCG